TATATATATATATAACTAAACAAACAAAATGCTTAGGGAGACAGCTCTGTCTGTCTCTGTCTCCTTTTTGTGTATTTGTTGGTTTCTCTCTGTTTTTGTTTGTTTTATTTTTGTCTCTTTTTGTTTCTTTCTCTCTCTCTCTGTCTCTTTCTTTGTTTTGTTTATTATAAAACAGAGAAAGGAGACAGAAGGAGACAAAAAAAAAGAGAGACAGAAGGAGACAGATAAAGAAGAGACAGAAAAAAAGGAGACAGATAAAAAGGAGACAAAAAGAAAAAAAAAAGAAAAAAGATAAATATTTTTGTCTCTTCTTTTTAATAGCAAAAGAGAAAAGGAGACAATCCCTTGCGCTGTCTCCTCAGCTGTCTCCTCCCTGCTGCTGTTGCTGCTCCCGTTGCTGCTGCTGCTGCTGCTGCTGTTGCTGCTGCTGTTGCGGCTGCTGCTGCAGCTGTTGGTGCGGCTGCTGCTGCTGCTGCGGCGGCGGCGGTTGCTGCTGCTGCTGCTGCTGCGGCTGTTGCGGCTGCTGCTGCTGCTGCTGCGGTTGCTGCTGCGGCTGTTGCTGCTGCTGCTGCTGCTGCTGCTGCGGCTGCTGCTGCGGCTGCTGCTGCGGCTGCTGCTGCTGCTGTTGCGGCTGTTGCTGCTGCGGCTGCTGCTGCGGCTGCTGCTGCGGCTGCTGCTGCTGCTGCGGCTGCTGCTGCTGCAGCGAGGAGCGACGATCTAGAAAGGTGATGAAAGCAACAGCAGCAGCAGCAGATTCATCTGCTGCTGCTAGCCGCAGCAGCTCTTGTGGGGCTGGCCCGAGCTCAGCTGTGTAGTCGCGCATGCATAAAGGACACAGCTGCAGCAGCAGCAGCAGCAGCAGCAGCAGCAGCAGCAGCAGCAGCAGCAGCAGCAGCAGTAGCAGCAAAGGGTTTTTGGTTGGGTCAGAGACAGAAAAAAACAAAGGAGACAGAAAAAGAGAAAAGGAGACAGATAAAAAAAAAGGAGACAGAAAAAGAGAAAAGGAGACAGAAAAAGAGAAAAGGAGACAGAAAAAGAGAAAAGGAGACAAAAAGAAAAAGAGAGACGATGCAGCAGGAGACAAAAAAGAGAAAAAGGAGACAAAGAAGAGAGAAAAGGAGACAGATAAAACAACAAAAGGAGACAGATAGAGACAGATAAACACAAACAGAAAAAGGAGACAAAAAAAGAGACAGAAAGAGGAGACAGAGGAGACAGAAAAGGAGACAGATAAAACAACAAAAGGAGACAGACAAAAAGAAACAAAAAAAAACAAAAAAAAACAAAAAAAAAACAAAAAAGGAGACAAAAGAAGAGACAAAAAAGGAGACAGAAAAGGAGACAAAAGAAGAGACAGAAAACACACAAAGAAAAAAAGGAGACAGAAAATATGTATATACATATACACACACACACACACACA